TGGAATTATACAAAAGTTCTGGGATCTTATGGACCCCACAATACGAGGAGAGTCCCTCTGATCATCAGTCTGTACTTAAAAACACTGAGCTGCTGCATCAATTAAGAATGGTGGGCTATCCATAGGAGAAACCCTGAATAATTTCAGCCAAGACCAGGAGAATTTGCTTACGGTCCAGCCTCCCTGAGCGTACCCAGCAGCTTCCTCGTGAGTTTTGCCAGGGTGTTAACAGGGAACTGGACATAGTCCAAAAGAATGTGAGCATTAATGGGCCTCTACCTCCTTCCGGTCAGGAGAAACTGCCTAGCTAAGCCACACCACTTTTCAAATGCGCTTCCCTTCCTCACTCCCTCACCTTTTCCCCTCCCAGAGTCCTACCAAAATATTCTCAAGGGTGAGACCTTTAAGAAAACAGAGAGAAACAAGTGTGCTTCTGGGGGTTTCTTCCCTTGGCCAGTTAACACAAACCTGTCTCAAAGCCCTGCTACTTTTGTGTCCGTGATGGTTGGAGGGGAACAGGGACAGTAATGCAGGGAGAGAATAGCACGCATTGACGTCAATGTGTGCTTGTGCCACCATTGCAGTGGAAAGAACGATGCAGTGGTAAATAGGAGACCTGGGCCCCAGTCTCTACTCTGGGCCCAAATGTCTTCATCAGTAAAATTGTTTAGAAGGAACGCTGTGGGGTGGGGATGGGAGGATTCCACCTAGTTGAAAACTAGATATAGAGGCCTCAGCAAATTCCCTAGCGAAATGCCCCAGTCAGACCCATTCCTACCTGGACAGTAAGGTTGGGAAACACAGGGGAATGGTGGTTAGTATGTGTTATAGGCATCCAGGTGCAGATCTGGGCATTTCCAGCCTGGCTCCATGATCATGCAAGGTGGGGGGTGGGGGCACAGACGGCGGTACAATAGCGGGGTTGGCTAAGACGTAGCAGAGGATTCCAAAAGTCACATTTTAGTATCTGGGACAAGCGTTTTTAACCGGGGTCCACAAACCATAGACTGTACACTGGAATTCAGAGGTCCATGAATTTGGATTGGAAAATATTACAACCTTTAAAGGCAGCAAACTACAGTTGCATTAGCAGGGCCAGTAGAAAGCAGTACTTTTCATTTCCCTTTACAGTTGCAGATATCTTGAAACATCGTTTAAACTCATTTCTACTTCAAGTTTGCAGTGGTGTGTTGGGCTCACCCCCTTGATCCTGTTATTTAATGTGTTAATAAAGAAACCCATGTACACCAAACATCACACCCTTAAATATTTTCACAACTGTATTTCAACATAACTAGCTTCCTTTGTGATCCTGTGTATTTTATTTTATGCATAGGAAAATATTTTGAGAAGGGATCCACGGCACAAAAAAGCCCCCAGACAGGGCGGGGTGGAGCCTTGTTGACACTCTGGCCCAGAGTTAGCACGGCTGCCCCGCTGAGCACAGGCTCGCACAGGAGGAACCAGGTCAGAATCCCAGCAGGCACTGCTCCGGCTCCAGGAAATCTTGGGGTAGGGGTGTGAGGCATGACAGCGACATCTTCTTTAGCATGGTAGAGTAGCCTTGTGCCTCTGCTGCCCATTGTGAATAAGGGGAAAATCACCAGCCTCTTACCTTAAATCATAGGGGGTTTAGGGAGAATGAGGACAGAAAATGTGGGGAAAAGAGGAAGAGATTCCTCCCTCCCCAGCTGTGGTTGTATCTCGGCTCAGGGACATGACTGTCCCACACCCTCCTGGAGGACAAAAGCTATTTCAATGTGCCAGGTGCAAGTTGAGCCAAGCCCTCTTTCAAGCAAGCCTCCACCCTTGCAGGCACTGGGACATCTGTGCACACCGGGCTCTCCTTGCAAGGGCAGTTCCTCCATCTCTGCCTTTCCATGTGCTGCCCTTCACTGGGAGCAGTGCCACCCCCAGTTCATGCCAGGCTAGCCCTTCCCCAAGTGACACAAATTGCCAGGCCCCAGCGATAGGTCCAGGCTGCCTTGGGAGAGGAGCTGTGCCTTTGTGCAAAGACACCCTTCATTTCACAAAGGAGGGAATCAAGGGCACGATTGCTGTTACTGACCTCTCTCTCCAGTTCCTGAGTCTGGCTTCCTTATCTCTGTCAAGACCTTTTGAGCTGCCCCACTGGCCACAGGGTAAAGCTCAACCCTGTCCACCAAGGGCCAGGGGCAAAAGACCTGCAGGCCAACTGTGAGAGTAACTGAGCCCAGAACCCCAAGCTCAGCCCCTTTCCCCCACCCAGCCTGAGAATGGACTCATTTCCTGTCACTCTGGCCAGGTGCTCACAGGGTAAGGCAGAACCCACGAACCCCTTCACACTGCTCAGCACCTTCACCTCCCTCTGGAGAAACTCCCCAAGTTTGAGATAATCATAGAGAAGGGGCTGAGGTGATACACACAAGTTTAATTCTGGGTGGGGGATGGACTGGAGGACACTGAGGGGTGATGGGGAGAGGCCTGGGAGTCTGAGAGCCTGAGATTTTCAGGGGAAAAACTCTAAGGTACAGGCCAAGGCACCCACTTCTGCTTCCTGCTGGACTCTCTGCTACCCTGGATACCATGCTGGTCTGATCTGGGCAGAGAAACGACCAACAGGCCCCTGGGACATCATTCATTCACAGATGTTTGTTCCAATCAAGGGCTCACAGTGGGCAATGGGGAGGGAAAGCAGAACCATACACACTGTAAATGCTGTTCACAGAGGGCCAGGGGCAGAGGGAGGAAGCTGCCCATTCTCTGATGGAGGGTGATGGAGAATGACTTCCTGGAGGGAGGCCTGAAGCAAAGTCTTGAGGGAATAAGGAGGAGAAAGAGGGAGGGACTTCTCCACAGAGGCTTTGAAAGAAGCCCAAGCTCCAGGCCTGCTTGGGGAAAAGCAGTATTGGGACCTGCATACTGGGCTGCACTAGGCAAAGAGGCTTCTGTGCATGCTGGCCGTCAGGAGAAAGGGGGTCCTGCAGTTAAGCACACTTGGCAAGTTCTGGATTAAACAATGTTGAACAGTTCTCCTCACTGTAGGACTTGTCAGAACCTTTAACCTGTTAATGAGCCTCATGGTGTTGTATCCCAGGGCTGGTGTTCCTTGGCAGGCCATGCTGGCATAGGGAAGACGGGAGGCAGTAGGAGTAGATGAGTTTAGAGAATGCAGGGGACTTTGAATACCAGGTCAAGAAGGCTAGACTTTCCTTGGTGCTATTGAGGAGTCTCAGAAGACAATTCACTGAAGGATTTAGACTAAGGGGACTGGTGGCAGTTTAGTCACCAGCAAGGTCAGAGCCTCTCCCTCGATCCACTCCTCCCTCCTGGATAGGAGGGCCACTCCTTGGGAGAGAAAACAGGGTCCTTGGACACAGGCAGCAGTGAAGAAACTCAGAGACAGGCTAGAAGGGCGGGGAAGCTGGCAACCCTTGATTCCAAGCTTGGGTTGACAGCCTTTGGCACAGGGTTCGAGGCTGCTGTGGTTCAAATCCTGACTTTACCACTTTCTCACTGTGTGTATCTCTCTGGAGCCTCAAGCTTTTTCTTCTACCTTTTAAAAAATAGACATTATCTTTTAGCGCACGTTTAGGTTTACAGAAAAATTGTGCCAAAAGTACAGAAGGTTCCATATACTCTCTCCCTCCCACCCCCATGGTTTCCCCTAATATTAAATATTAACATCTTACATTAATGTGGTACATTTATTACAATTGATGAACCAATATTGGTACATTATTATTAAAGAAAGCCCATAGTTTACTTGAGGGTTCACTCACTGTGTTGTACAGTTCCACTAGTTTTGACAAATGCATAATGTCGTGTATCTACAATGACATCATTCAAAATAGTTTCACTGCCCTAAAAATGCCCTGACTGAGCCTCAGTTTTAACATCTCCAAAATGAGAGTGTGAAAGTCATCTAAAGCCCCTCCGTCTCCCATTGTAGGTTTCTAATTTAGGCCTTTTGACAAATTAACTGGTAACTGAAATCAAGTAAATGTTTCTTTAAATGTGGTCAGATATCCATCAGAATCACTGGGCTTGGGTTGAGGTGAAGGGGTCCTCATTCAAACGTTCTAGGGTCTCAACCCCAGACCCGCTAAATCAAAATCCCAGGGGCTGGGCCCAGGAATCTGCATATTAACCAGGCCCTGGTGCATAGGGAAGTTTGAGACCTGAACAGAGTTTTCAAAACTGAACAGAAGGATCCAATCCATTGTCAGGTTAAAGCTCAGGAGAGATGTACAATTCCCAGAAGGGGGAAGGAGTAGCACCGTTTTCCTGGAAAAAGCCCATTTCTGCCTTCTGCAGCTCCCAGTCAACAAGCCTGCTGTTTCATATCTTGATTGCTGATCACTCACCCAAAATAACCTGCGTGCAATGTCTCGCCAGCTGCAGCTCTCTCTGCAGCTCCCTTAATTTAGCAGCCAAACACGTTTGGCTCCAGAACAAAGGGGCTCTGGGATGGGGCCCCTCCCTCATGGCCATCTGTAGTGGGTTGAAAAACGTGCCCCCAAAATTCATGTCCACCCAGAACCTCAGAATGTGACTTTATTTGAAAATGAGATATTTGCAGATGTAATGACTAAGGATTAAGATGAGATCACACTGGATTAGGGTGGGTCCTAAATTCAGTTACTGATGTTCTTACAAGATCAGCCAAAGACAGAGATACACAGAGCAGAGAAGGCCCTGTGAAGACAGAGGCAGAGACCGGGGTGATGCAGCTATAAGCCAAAGAACACCAAAGATTCCAAGAGCCACCAGAAGCTAAAAAAAGCCCAGGAGGGACTCTTCCCTAGAACCTTCAAAGGGAACATGGCCCTGCCAACACCTTGATTTCAGACTACCAGCCTCCAGAACTGTGAGAATAAATTTCTATCATTTTAAGCCACCCAGTTTGTGATAATTTGTTACAGCAGCCCTAGCAAACTAATACACCATCACTGCCGTAGACTCCTGCCCCAGTTCAGCCCCACTACAGCCAAGGAGGTAAGGACCCCACACACAGGCGATTCTCCAGATGGGTGCTTTAATATGGCCAGTTATGATCATAGCTATTTTCCCCCAACCAACACCTCTGAATTCTGCATCTACTAGGCCTGTTTCTTACACAAGGACAAGGGTCCTCTGTCCTCTGCTTGGAAGACTATATAATCCAAGATGGGTTAAAACTTCAATAAATAAATATTGGTCCCAGGGGCAGTGCCTGGCAGGTGGTACCATGTGGCCATTCCTGGGCTCAGCCAAGGGTCGGGCTAGACGGGTCACTGCAGCTTCATGCCACTCCGGCGCCGAGAGTCCTTCCGAGCGATGGGGCTGAAGTTCACAATCTCCTTGTAAATGTGCTCTGAGAAAGACAGGGTGGTTCAAGGGGTAGGGGGTGCTGAGGGCAAGAGAGAGCCCCCCTCTCCCAACAGACATAGTGTGGAGCAGGAAATCGGCTCAGTGCAGGGAGAAAGAAGTGCACACGGGAGACAATATTCGCTCAGAGAGAAAGAGGTGATAGTCTCCAGGAGGGAGTTGGGACCGGCTGAGGGCAGGCAGGAAAACGAAGCAGGCAGAGAGAGGAAGCATCCCGAGGCCCTGAGCCCTTACGCTTCCATTCATCCGCTGTGAGTTTCTCATGTTCTAAGAAATCATCAAATGGCTGCTGGGCCTCTGTTTCCTCCTCAGGGTCCCGGCAGGATTCAAAGAAGGGGTGGGTGAGGGCCTGAGAGGCGGTCAGGCGCTTGTCCAAGTCCAGCTCCAGCATCTTCTCTAGCAGGTCTGCAGCTGCGGTCACAGAGTGTGAGCCTCACACGCCATGGAGAGCCCGCCCGCTGAGACAGACTGCAGGCCCCAAGACTCACCCTGGGGGCTGGCATGCGGGAAGAGCTGAGAGAAATCCTGCTTGGGGCTTTGTGGCAGGGACTGGATGTAGGATTTGGCCTGGAAGACAGAAAAGCACTGAATAATCCCCAGTTGTCAGCCCATCAGGGCTTAGGCCATGGGGTATAGAGCACGGACCCCAGAAAAGCCCCTGAGAAGGGCTGAAGGCTCAGGTCCGAATCCAAAGTGAGATGAAGGCAAGAGCCCTTGCCAGGGCAGAGGGGAGGCGCAGCCTGCAGCCCACCTGGCCCTGGTCAGCCAAGCGCACAGCCCTGGCCAGCCTGGGCCCATCTGCCACTCACCGCTTTGTCATTCAACTTCTGCACAAACTCAGCGTCCGGCACCCCCGTCACTTTCAGGATCTGCGTCAGCTGGTCCAGGTCTTGGCAGCAGGTTAAGGCTCGGCCTCACTCCCTGTGGGTGGGTCTGAAGCTGCCCTTCCTGCTGCCCCTCCATCAGGCCCACCCAGCACTGTAGACCATCCAGGTTCCAGACACTCACCTCCTCCTGCTTTTAGGAGGGGAGGTTCATCCTTCAGGACTCAGGTCTCTGGAAGGCTTCCTACCTGCCAGGCTGGGTAAAGGGCCCTTCCCCACAGATGCTCCTGCATGTGCCACCTTCCTGGCCTCATCCCGCTCAGTCACCTCCATCCATTTCTTTGTGTACTCCCCCCCAACACCCTCGCACTCTGAATTTGGCAGGGAGACCCACATCTTCTCCTTAATCCCTGCGCAGCACACACAGGTGCCCAGTTTCAGGTGTGTGGTGCCAAAACGTCAAGTATTTTCTGCATTTCTGTGTTGGAATGACAGGTGACTAGTTTTCATCACTTTGCTTCTCTGTACTTTAAAGTTGTTCCACAGGGAGCATGTATCACTTTCACATTAAGAAAAAAAGAGAGATTTAAATAATAAAGTGTCTGTTGAAGGAATGAATCCCTGGATGCAGTTTGGCTTTTCCAGCAAAGGATACAATCTTTCCCCTTGAAGAGAGTTTTCCCCGTCAGCATCTCTGCCATGATACAGCCCACAGACCAGATGTCCACTGCAGAGGGAGGGGGAGGAAGTGTCACCTGGACCAGCTGACCAAGACCCGGCAGTCACCAAGAGTCAACCCAGAGTCACCAAGACAGCCTTGAGGAAGCTGTCAGAGAAGAACCCCAGCCCTATCCCCCTCCCCCGGGCAGCGGACCACTGACCAGTCTGGTTGTAGTGCATCCAGCTGAGGATCACCTCAGGGGCCCGGTACCAGCGGGTCACCACATAGCCAGTCATCTCTGCATCTGCATGCCGTGCCAACCCAAAATCCAAAATCTATGACTCGGGGCACATAGGAAAAACGAGCTCACTTAAGAGAGGCTCCCCGAGCAGCTTCTGGGGGCTCCTATGGGAGAGGGGCCCACCCCAACCCCAGGCTGACCCTGCCTGGGCCCACTCACCTTCAGCTCACAATCCTCATTGACAGCAAGGTTGCCTGGCTTCAGGTCCTAGATGAGAGAAGAGATGGAGCACTGGGCAGAGGCCGAGATGGGCGCTGTCCCCACTCGGCTGCCAGCCAGCGTGCGACCTTGGCCAGGCCCCTGCCCCTCTCTCTGGGTTCTGGTCTCCTGTGCAGAATGAGGGTTGGACTAGGTGTCCTCTAGGGCCCATCCAGCTCTAAAATGCCTCTTGGAGCCTGAAACACCCAGCTCAGGGCTTTGTTGGCAAAATTTTCCCAGAAAGTTCCCCAGAACACAGCAATTCTTCTGAGCAGGTCTCCCTGGGCCAAGCCTAAATCTGAAAAATCCACTTTCCCTGCTTCCTCCACCTCCTGGAACCCCCTAAGCCGAACCCTAGCCCCCAGGGGTGGGCGGGGCCTCTGAGGATGTAGCAGAGAAAGCACTCACCCTGTGGATGACCCCAGCTGAGTGGATGTACTGTGTTGGGGAGAAAAGAAGGGTGAGTCCAGTGCCCGGCTTTTGCACCAGGTGTTTCAGGCTGGCTCGGAGATCTCTGCCCTGCCATGGTGTGCTCTCCCAGCCTTCGAGGTCTAGCCTCTCCCAAACCCCAGTTCTCAACACCAAGCCCCCATCCCCTGCCATCTTGCAGGCTCCCACCCACCTTAAGACCTTTGAGCATCTGATACACCAGGTACTGGATCTTGTCCTCACCGAACTCCATTCCCATGATCTTCTGCAAGTCCGTCTGCATGAAGGGCATCACCAGGTAGCTGCAAGTCATGAGGACTTCTTGAACAGCCCCCAGCCCCGCCCAGCTCCGGGTCTGAGCTCGGAGGAGGGCAAGGGGCTGGGCAGAACAGAGGCCTTAGGGATGACCTTCATGTGCAAAAAGAAGCAGCCCCACCACAGCCAGCCAGACCCCCATGCAGTGGGCCTCCTGACTCCTGGCTCCCAGCCTGGCCCTGGTGGCTGCCCTGTTGGCAGAGCTCAAGGTACGTATTTCAGCTGGAGCAGTGCTCCCTCTCTTCAAAGGTGCTCTCTGCTTGCCCTCCTCCACGCCCCACAGAAAGCCACTGCTGTGAGTTAGAAGCATTTGCCAGTGTTTCCTTCTGCTTCTGTACAAATATTTCCTCCCCCAGAGGGTCATGCCCCGCCAACATGGCTCCTCAAACATACAAAAATGTCCTCCTTCCAAGAAGGAAACAATAAAACAGTTTCTAGGAGGGTGAAGCAGGAAGGAGGAGGCAGCTGAGCCAACACACCCTCTTAATGGGATTTGCAAAACAGGTGGAAGTCAGCAAAATGTAACTGTTACTCAAGGCAGTAATAGCAAAGTCCAGAACAAAAAAGGATAAAGATTTAGGAAGGAATTAAAAAAAAAAAAAAAAAAAAAAGGATGTGGAGGCCATCTCCCTGAGCCTGTGACTTCTGAAGTCTCCCCCGACCTGACCGCACCCCCGCTTCCCTCCTCCACCCACCCCAGCACGGGGACCCTGCTCCATGCACAGACCCTTCCCCACCTTTGTGTTTCACCTCTGCGTGGACCCTGATTCTTTCTTCTCAGCTGACAAACTTGCTGAAGTCTCACTGTGATACAACCACCTTCCCTTGCTTAACCTTGTTTCTTCAAGTAACCACCCCTTCTCTCTCTTTCCC